GAAGTATTTATATTATCAATAATTATTGATAATTGAATATTGATTATTGATTTCATGACATTATTATTAATATTATAAGTAATATTTAAGCTAGCATATACTGGTCTACATAAAAACTCGTTTTAAAATTAATCAAACAGCATTGGCTTAAATTAATAATATATTTCAAATATTATTGAAACACAAAACATCTGTTATTATTAATAAATTATTTTGTGTGAATAAAATATACTCATTTCTTTTATAATTTTAATTAAATAACTTATTGTTTTCTTATGAAAATTTCCTGATTACCCCACTGATATTGATATGCTTTTTTCTTTGTGTGCCAACGGGCAACATTTTGTGGTTTTCATTGCTGTTTTCGTTGTGGCAGAAATCCTTTTCCGCTGGACACGGAAGTGGGTCCTGCGGGCAAAGGTGTGTGCCTGGGGGAAAGTGGGGGCAGGTTGGGGGGATTGTGGATTGGGGTTGGGGTGGCTATTGGGATTGCGATCGGGGGTTCGAGGAGGGGTTGTTGCACGCACGACTACATTGTCAAAGTTTTGTGTGTCATTATTGTGGCTGTTGGCGGTTGCTCTGTGCTTTCGTTTTCCCGCTTTTCCCACTTTTCCTCGCCTTTTTCCCGGCTGCTGTGCTGTGCTGAGCTGAGCTGTCCTTCGTGGTCCCCGTCGTGTTTGTTGTTGCGGGTTATTAAAAACTTTTACCGCTCGCAAAAAGAGTCCCGCCCACAGAGACAGCCCAGAACCTGCCCATCCGACCGCTGCAGTTGCTCGTTTTCATTTTCATTGTGAATGTTAATTACTCCAGCGGCGGTGACAACTGCCAAAGCCAGGATCTGTTTTGGTCCAGGTCCTGCAACTGAAACTGCTTTCCGCCACTCTGGCACTTTATTGGCACTGAAAAAAAAATTGTTTGATCATTTTTGTACTGAAAGTTAAATCGATGATTTTACAAGTTTGTCATATAACTCAAAGGTGCACAGAGCTCTTAAAAATAAACAGCAAAATCATAAAACACATTAGAAAATGCATTTATGTGGGAAAATTAAAAAAATATATATTTAAAAATATTTGTATATTTATTTATTCATTTGGTTCACTTCCCCTTTTTATTTAACGGTTATACATTTTTTTTCCAGTGTGCTCACTTTTCTCCCGTTTTTTACTCTGTCTTGTTCCCCTTTCTCTGGCTTATAATCAAACTTATTTACTTTATGTGACTTTTATGAGAATTAAGCTGCATGCGGTCGCTTTCGGTGGAAGTGGTGGCTGTTTTCGTTTATTCCGATCATGACGATGCTAATGACGCCGTAGATGAGTTGTGGGCCAGTTGGGTATGGGCACCATGGGGACGGTCCATTAATTAGATATATGGTCCCGAAGTGTCCATGATGAGGGCTATCCTGAAAAAGTCACTTTTTATGTACCCGAACAAAAGTCTGAATCAACCCATATTTAGTTTCTCTTTAGATAGATTTTCGTTTAGTTTTGCTCTTTAACTTTCTTAGAGGAAAACACCACTAAGATAGACGATGATAAATTCACCAATATGATGGAAAATCTTTTCGTGTAACTTTCCAGGTAATGCCAATAAATTTTCATATAAAAAAACCATCACGTAGGCAGCTGGGATGCTAAAGATCTTTGTCCTGGGGCGGATATTACGTGGAGGGTGAGAGCCCCAAACCCAAACATTTTGATATGTTGTGTCGCGCTGTCGGGCTGTCAAGAAAATTAGCGTTTGGGGGAATCAAAACTGAAGCCACGTGTTGCCTTTGTCTCGTTTTTATGATACACAGCCAAAAAAAAAAACAAGATTGTACTTAAAATATAATGTTAGGATCTCAAAAAATAGCTAAAAAATGGTTGGAATTAATATTACTATTTTTCCAAGCACTAAAAAAAGTAGGAATTAATTCAAAATTTATATAAGTTTAAACTAAATGCCATTTATATTGTCTTACCATTTTGAAACTTTTTTTATTCCCATTCCTATTACCCCTATTTTCTTTAGAAGACCAAAGTTGTCTTTAAGTTGGGCAAGACTGTTTTTTTAAACGCTTTGATGTGCATGTGCTCCATGTTGTATGCTAACCTCAGCGGCTCCGACATCTTCTTCCGGCCGTAGACGCAGACGTTCTCTGGGTTCCGGGACTTTGAACTCCGTTCTGCGTTCTCTGGTCTCCATTTCCATTCTCCGGATCCGGCGACTCATTGTCTTTCGGCGGGCTCACGTGCTCACGTACGAAATAATTATAGCGCAAGTACGTGTACCGAATTCGCGAGCACATGGCTTTCGCCTTGGCTTTGCTTTTGCTTTTGGCCCAGACGGCCCATCGGTTTTGCACACCACCCCCATCTGGCGGCGGAATTTTCTGGGTGGGGCCGGGAAAACCCATTTCATTGGCATATTTATTTTATTTTTCTTTTTTTTCGGTGTTGGCCGAACCATTTTTAGACATTTTCCAACAGTTTGGCGGGGTCCCCATCGTTTTCTGTTTTTTTTTCGCTTTTGCCTTTGCTTTTGACTACAAAAAGTTGGCCCCAAAAGTTTGCTGCTTCTTTTTTGTGCCGCTAGTATTTACCCCATTCTTTTTTCGGGGGCCTTCGTTAACAATTCCCTCGGCTTTCGATGCGAGTTTTTATTTCTGAGAAGAGCCCCTGAAAAGTTGGCATCATGTGGCCGTTGCTTTGATTGTTTTCCGACCTCCATTGAAACTGTTGTCATTATTATTTTTTAAAGATATTACGGGGCTTTTGTGGTCTGTGGACTGAGAGGTATACAATACTTTTGGAGTCAGGTAGTCGATTGTTAAGGGTTACCTTTTCGAAATCAGCCGATTCTTCCCTTATTTCTTTAAAGTTTCCAACTTCTCCTAGCTTTAATACAATATTTTTCCCAAACAAACTGAAACTCCGAAACTCGTAACCTTAGAGTTACGCCTGGGTTTAACCCAGGCAATTATCGTTCTTATCCTGACTCATCGGGCAGATTAGTGAGGAAGTTGTCACGGGATCTCGGCAGCCGGCGCAACTCCAGCCAGGACATTTTTGGGGGGCCCATCCTGAATCACAGCTGTTGCATTCTGGGCCTAAACTGTGCGTCTACTCAACCACAAAACACACACGTTCCACGATGCGGAATCCGGCGATGAGGAGGTTGGCCAAGAAATGGAGGTGCCATGCGAGGGGGTAGTGATTGTGGAAGGGCGCCCCGAAAACTCGCAAAAGTTTGCTCCAAAGTCCAACATATGTTGCCTGTTCATGCAAGTCCCCCCATTCGAAATTCCTTGCCCTGCAGTCACCGAGTTAGTTATACACATGAAAAAAACTATTACAACAAAATAAAACATAGAAAATAATATTATAAATAAATAATATATCGGACTCCCTTAAAATCTAAAATATTTCGAAATCGATTTTTCAGATAAATCAGGCAAATCTTTTTTATCGATAACGGGTTTTGGCCATCTCTTCACCGTGTTCAAAAAAATTATACCTTAGCATATTTGTGGCTTTAGTGCTGTACATTTCTTTCAGTGTGCGACCATCACAGCACGTGTGAGAGTGTGCGTGTGTGCCAGTGTGTAATTATAACAAGTTTTCTAGGCAATTTTTCTGTTTTCCTTTTCGTTTTTCGCCCCAGAATTTCGCTCGTTCGCTTTTTTTTTTTTTTTTTTTGGGTACTCCTTCTTCTTCTTCTTCAGCTGGGTATCTGAAGAGCAAGAAATAAGTTTTTGATAAGAAAGTTATGATGAGTTTTCCTCACTCACACACACACACGGAAAGCGGGGAAAAGATGGCAGCACATGTACACACAGCTGTTGATTTTGGCCAAATTAGTGCAAACACGTCTTGTTTTGAGTTGTGGCCCATGTGGAACATGTGCAACTAATTTGCAGTTATCAAGAGTTCTGGGACCGAGACTGAATGGGACTGAATGGATGATCTCTCGGTCAGATGGACATGTATGTATATCTGTTGAGTCATTGATTTTGGACCCATCCCCATTCCCATTCCCTGGTACTAATTTGCATTTCCGTCGGTGGTGGCCACAAAAATGGACTATGGGGTATTTTTCCTGGGGAGGGGAATGGGGAAAATGGGCGGCTGGAAATTCGAAAACCCCGCCGGCCTGTCTGCCGACTGTCAAAAGTTTATTTATTTGACACCGAAAAAGTTGACACAGACACCAGGCCGGGGGCGTGACTTTGTGCCTGAATCGGATTTATATGCCTGGCCAAAATTGGATTACAATTGAGTTGTAATTATGCGACAACAAAACGGTGCGTTCGAAGGGATCTGAGTTCTGGGACCTGGGATCCTTTGGTCTCCACTGTTTCTGTTTTCCATGTTGTCGGCAATTTGAGTCAAGTCCTGGGCGACGTCTTTTGAAATTTCGCATTTTGCATTAATTAAAACTGATTTAATTAAAGCCTGTCGTGTAGCTTTTAAGTATTCCAAGGACCTGGATGAGTAACAGGACCAGGACCTGGAAGCCGGTACATCACATCCTCGACCATCCCCCATGAAAATGATTGAAGCGAGAGACCAAAGTGTTTTCGACTTGTCTCCTTGTCCCCCCGTCAAAGATTCTTTGTCGGCTTTGAAGAGGTGAAAGTTTAATTAAATATGCATCGGGCGTACACAGGTATGTGCATTTAAAGTCCAGATTCCTATGGGTATTTCATTGAAAGTTCCTTTTTGGTATACGAAACTCTAGTTAATACCCGAAATATTTGATATAAAAATAAAATATAATATTTATTAAAAAAAATCCAATTGCTCAGTCGCCTTTTCAATTTCTAGCTATCAGGAATGCTTTGTCCCCAGCCTGTCAGCAATAATTCAGTCATTCGAAACCCCCCACTCGCTGCAGTCCCTTTCGATCGAAATTCCGGTTAAATATACGTATATAATATATCTGAAACCCCCAAAAAATCCACGAAATCAAAAGAACACAAAAACCAAAACAGCAAATTTACGAGGCGCATCACGATGAACCCCTTTCGACCACGTTTGAATGCGAATCATCGCTTGAACTTGGAACGTGGAACCAATATACCCGGCGAAATGGAGCGTCGCCAGGAGAGATCGGTGGACGGATCGGTGGACGATTCGGTGGAGAGACAGCTGCGACTCACCCCAAGACCGGTGATTCGATTGGTGCGGGATCACCAGATTGACGTGGAGCGTTTCGTATTCAACATGAACAACCTGATGGATCTGCAGAGGGAGAACATGCGCCGCGGTGCCGGCGATGGAGTCTACGTGTGGAACATGCGGCCAATTCTGAACTACAACGGTCAGTTGGGCGAAGGCGACAACGATCATTACGGCGATTTTAATCTCGAGGTTGATCAAGAAGAGCTGCAGGGACCGGATCCACTGGCCTAGGCGATCTGAATCTACAACCTGCATCTGGTATCTAGCATCTGGCATCTAGCATCTAGCATCCTGCATCCTACATTCTGCATCTGCTCCTTCTATCACTCTTGTTTCGCTCTCTCTCCCACTCTATCACCCTCTCTCTCCTGTGTGTGGTGTCCTTTTTTTTCGTTTCCGAGCATTGTCCGCACAAAAAGAAAAGGCCCCAAACATCATCAGCTGAACGCCCCAGGCCCCCAATCAATCCGGAGAAGGGAACCCCGTTTCAGACGCATGTTGTGCTATTATTACGTACCCGTTGGGTTCCGGCCTGTCCTGCTGGACTTCTCCACAAGAATTCGCGGGGCCCGAAGGGGAGACACGGCGGACACGCCGAGGCGCACGCATATAATAATTTCCTGTTCAATGAGCAATTACCGTAATAAAGATACAACTCGGCTACTCTATAGTATATGTATGGAACCCAAACCCAAACCCAAACCAGAACCCGAACCCCAATCCGGATGACAATGGTGGTCAGTGTGTATCGAAGCGGCGGGGGGGAGATTGTGATGACAACGATGATGATGATGACTGTGCCGTTCGGTTCTGTTCAGTCCTGTTCTGATGTGATGTGATGGATAAAGCCCAGGCTCAAGTCTGTCACTCTCTTTCCATGAGGTTAATGGGGGCGTGACGAACATACGGAAGTGGCGCACGGAAAGTTGATTGAACTGCACTAGTTTACTACCCCCAAAATGGCTGGCATGCAATTGCCTCATTATATCGAAGTAGAATGATTTGCTGGCTTTTACAGGAAGTTAATTCAAAACGTACAACACCACACTACACCAATAAATAGAGAATATATATATTCTTAAAAGTATTTACCCAATAAACTGATTCAGCAATCACAATAGTTCAACAATAAATTCAACATTAGGTTCAACAATAATTCAACAATAAATACAACAGTAATTCAAAAATAAATTCAACAATAAACTAGTTAATGCTTAGTAAACAATTACATTTACATTATCCCATAGGTTCGACCAAAAAGTAAACCAATTACAATCAATAACAATAAATTCACCAATGAAATGTTCATATAAATCAACAAATTTCAACAATTTATTTGTTGATTATTCAACCTACTATTTCACTTACTAATTAACAAATCACTCAGCCCTATACTCCCCAATTAATTCATGAGTTCCCAGGTATCCTGTTATCCTTGCCAGAAGTCTCTCCTTAAGTTAAGCTAATCGGGCTGCCAATTGGAACAGATTTTGCCCTCTCTGTTGCGACATTTGCATAATCAAAGCCAAATTCGGGCGCATCCAGTGTTTCAGTGTTTGACTTTCATTATGGCCATCGAGGACATCTCTAGGACTTCCCAATCACTGGCGCCAGGACTCGAGTGTATCAATTCAGGAGCAGCCCTCCTTTATTCTATTCCATTTTTATTCTATTCTATTTTTTTCTTGCTCCGCCATTAGCAGGCAACGTCAAGCTGTCAGACGGTCCGAAGGAAAAGCCTTTTTCGATGGGGCTTCCTTTTTGGGATAGGATGGTCTTTGTTTTGCTCAGCGAGAGAACATTTTATTGCTTTATGCGTTTAATGAAGTGTTGCTGGGCAGAGGCACTCAGAATCGAAATCGACGACCCCTGGGACCCAGACAGCAACCCTTCGCTTTCACTTTTCACTGCGAAACGGGGCTCCAAGACAGACAGAAAGCAGGCAGCATATCAAACATTTCTGACAGTCTATGACGTCTGCCGGAGGAGTGACTATGACTCACTGACTGACTGATTGACTGGCTGACTGACTGACTGGCTGATTGACTGATTGATGGACCGTCGACTGGCTCGGCAAGCAAGAAGGAAGGAACGACCGGTGTCACTCACTCTTGTTCACCCACGATGCTCTCGCATGTAATGCATAAAGAATGAAGCTTAAATAAAAGTTGGGAGATGAGAAATAGGATTAACTTGTCACACAATTGAATTTAATTTTCATACACAACGAGGGCGGGCGAAAAGCATCTGGAAAACCCAACCAGACATTGCCTCTCCCCCCGTATCCCGTCTGCCTTCACTTTTCACTTTGGGGAATATATAGACATCGAGTCGAGTCGAAAAATGCTTTTGTGGTAATCCCCTGCCGAAGCCGATTCGGGGTTTTTGTAATGAAATTACACGAGCCTCAGATTTGTCAAAGCAATCAATACACCCGGATGTGCAACCTTCGATTGAATGGCCTGCCATTCGATGGGCACGGATCCTTGATGAGCCTCTGCATCTGCCTCTGCCATGGAGCCCAGGTTGGGAATAGTGGAGCAGAAATAGCTAACAGAAAGCAGAGAAAATGTATTCAACTGGGGAATTGAAAAGGTTTTGTATGGCCATGAAAGAAGTTTTTAGGCTGGATCAAAAATAATACTTCTCTTACACTTAATAAGCTTATTGTTCACCAAAAGAAATATTTATTCGAAATATAAAATTTATTTATAATAGAATGAATAAAAAACTAAAAGAATATTGAATTGAATGAATATAATATTTTCCTACATTTTTTAAAACAACAAGTATTTATAGGCCTTCATAACTTTGAAATTTGTATTTTAATACAAATATTTATTATTTTAATTTTATTTACGAGTGCTACAATTTCCTTCTTATTTTTGCTCTAACTAGAAAATCCTCTTTTCCTCCATCTGTAAATTTTGTTTTTCAAAACTAGGATTTGTTTTTTTTTGACAAATCTCTAAGGTTGTTTAATGAAATGTGTTTCTTCTAAAGAGGTGATTTCCCACCACCATCCTCCATCCCCTCACCCACCAATCCACCTCCAAGCCAGCTCAAAGGCTCCTTTGACAGCTCCCCATTCGCTTTTCATTATGCACATCATCCATCAATTAATTGACTGCACTCCATCGCCTCATTGCGTATGCCGCTCACATGCCGCTTGTATCTTTGATTAGCGAAAACAAAAGCGAAAGAGTGACGGGAGTTCATTAACTGTCACACAAATGTGGCAAATGGCAGGATGCAAGTGGAGTGGAGTGGGTTAAATGGGGGTGGTGCACCCCATTCTATCCATATGCTAGCACTCACCACTCCGCCGCCTTTGGTCGGTCCAACTTAATTAAATAGCAACAGATTCGAGGGTGCGGAATCCTTTTGGTCCTAGAAGTTAGCCAACAATCACATCCTCGCTTACCTACACATAGAGAAAATGTATTATACTTGAGATGTCATTACAAAAAATTTTATTTTTTTTAAAAATATGAAAATGTAAGCATATTTAAAGACTATTTCCGAGTTCTGTAATAATTATATTAAATATTTTTTTAAATCTTGTAAGCACAAGGAAAGCACATACAAAATATAAAAAATTTCTTAATATTTCCGAGCTCGGTAATAATAATATTTAATAGTTTTCAAAATCCTGTAAGCACAAGGAATTAAATAATGTATTTTAACATAATTTATTCAGTTATCTTTAATAACTATTAATGTTGAAATAATAATTCCAATTCCAAAGTTTCTGCAAAATTGCAAAAACTGTGGGTGATTTTCACGGAAAAGTGTGGTTGCTCACACCTCTGGGAGTATCCTTCAATCTCCTTTTTTCGCGGTGCAGACCCTCAATATCGCCGTGGTGCACATAAAAGTTTCTAATCCATTTGCCCGATACTTATGCACGCCTGCACTCGGGGGATTAATAAGTGTGGCTGTTTGTAGTGCCACCACCCCACCACCCAAGCTCCCTCCTCCTTCTTCCTTTGCTTTCCCATTTCCCAGCTCCATATATCCATCTTCCCGGTTGCGGATGGCTTGTTTCAACCACCGCCACCGCCTTCGACTTTGCAGCCAAATCAATTTCAACTGTCAACTGTCAATCAGGCCGCAATTCAATCACGCAACGTCCTCGGAGAGAATTCCAGTCCTCGACTTCTGCGACTTGGAGTTCCAGTTCCAGTTTCAGTTTCTCCTGCGCGACGCGACTAAGACAAACTTTAAGGAGATTTTCTCCGAAATGGGCACACACCACCACAACATACAACATTTGGCTGAATTATTCAAAGGCATCGAACCCAGAAACCAATCCACATGGCCTGTGTGGGTTATTAATGTTTTGACTCCAAAAAGGGCGGCGAGTCACGAGCAAGAGTCACAAACATTTGTTCAAGAGATTTTTATGAATTACATCGTTTTGCTGTGGGCAGAGGGCCAAGGGGGGGATTGTACACAGATTTTTATTGGTATTATTGCCATTTACAACTCGGCACCCGTTACGTTTCGACCTTGCATATGCATTGCTTTCCCATGGCAGAGCCCAAAGAACCCCATCGCCAAGCCAAGCTGGAATCCCTGGTAAATTTCGCAGTCAAGACACATGTCACGTATTTTTCTCGTAATTATGGCAAACGTGAGAAATTTCGTTAAGATTTTCTTAACACATTTTCTTGTGCATATATATATATATTTATAAAGCTGGAGTTGCGGCATAATTTTAGGCATTTTCCCGCTGGCTTTTGGCCCAGTCGTGCGGTACAGTCACCATAAGCATGTGGTGACCCCAAAAGAATGCCAGCTATAAAGATAATGTCACACGGGAGATCTAAAGAGTCACTTCAAAGGTTTAGCTTTATGTCCCAATTGGCTTTTGAAAATGGGAAAATATTAAGATATGCTTGGTTATTGATGTATTTAATTTTAAATATACAAAAATATTTATTTAAATCCTATTTTGTGGCTGAAAGGCTTAGCAACTGCTTCATCAATATGCTTATCAATTCCTGAACTTTGGCCACAAAGTCCTTGACCAGCTGCCTTCTCTCCGAGGAAGTGTTCGTCACATTCAGGGATTGACTGGGCAAACTCCAGGCCGCCGCAGCCATCATCACTATTTATTTGGTTATAAAGTCAAGGGGTTAAAGATCTCTTTGTTAGCTGGTAAAAAAGTTGAAGTAACTTACTGCAAAGCAGGCAAATGTACAATAATTTTTGCGCTGACATTGTGGAACTGAGCTCTTCTTAGGGATTGAAACCCACATAAATATAGCCCGAAATGCGGTTCTACGTGGACTTCAGAGCCTCGTGGCCTCACGTAGTCAAGATTAATTTCGACTTAGGCTTTGGCTTACATAAGGCCTGAGTTTTTCATAGGCTTAAGCCAAAATTGAGGGCTTTTTTAAATACACTCAAAAGCCTTTAAAAGTAGCCGAGTGTGGTATTTGATTGGATTCTGGTTGCTTAAATGATAAAATATGGAAAAAGAAGTTATTGCAACAGTATTTACCAGAAATAACTTCAAAAACCCAAGGACTTACCATAAAGTTGCCAATTATTATTGAAAATACATCTCTGTTCTTCCGGATTCTGCGGAACTTTAGATTGAGGAACACTTACAGAACTAACTACTCGCAAATTAAATACAATTACAGGAACCAGCTGTAACTGTAATTAATTTGCCTAGTTACAAACTAAATACGATTTCAGCTAGTTTCTGCACACAAAAAAAAAACTTGGTAAAATCAACTGTAATAATTGTCAAACAGGCCCCAACCAGCAAAATTGTCAATTCTACTAAGTAAATTGTCATTTCACAACAACAAAATACACACAATTAGCAAAGACACAAACCCAAAGCAAAAACAAAATACACGTAACTATTTTAATAGTTACGTAACTATCTTTGTTGGTCAATTTTACCAAGCAAATTTTTTTGTGTGTGTAATTGTATTTCATTTTTAAGTGGGCAACTCTGTAAATGTTCCTCAATCTTAAGTTTTGCAGATTATGGTTTTGCAGTCTTCCATTTAGAGTATATACATACATATCTATAGTGCCAAAAAATGTAAATATTTTCTTTATATTTATTGGGAGACTACTCACATGGCGACTACTGAACACTGGCATTCCGATTTTTTAAAATAATTTTACGTCAAATCGAAGTATTTCTTAGTTTGACATATAACTCAGAGGTAAGGAGAGCCTTTTTAATACCCTTGGATATTGTTTTATTTATCCTAAGTTTTTATAATAAAATTATTATAAAGAATTGAGTTGGTGACCGTCATCTTTAAGTTGTAACCCTATTTCTATATTATATCAGTTATGTTTTTAGTTCATTTTATTGTGTATAGAAAAACCAATTTTTTAAATGCTCGAAAGGTTATTTTATTTTCAATTGAAATTTTGACAAATTATCCTAAATTTTTTTGAAACATTTTTTAAGGGTTTTGCATTTTTTTGTAGGATTTAGCCAACAAGTCCTGTAGGATTTGCAACTGATGCCAAAATTGCTGAAGCTGGTGCCAAAGGTCCTTGGTTCGCACCAGTAAGTCCACCAGTAAGTGAACTAGCAAGTCCAGAAACAGCTCCAGCACCCATTCCAGTAGTAGCTCCTGTCAATGCTGCTCCCACTGGCCCAGAAGTCAACTCGCCGAGTCCAGGACGAGCATCACTAGTGCCCAGGTAGCAGGCTAAAAAATTAAAAAATAACTCTTAGTAAAATAATTGTTATCCTGGTGTTCGAGAGACTACATACCGCACACAATGAGGGCGACGACGATCGATTTGTTGAACATTTTAGCACGGTTCGGATGTATCGACTACTTGACCCAACTCAATCGGCTCCGATTTTTATAGTGCCCGACCAGAAAACTTTCGTGGACTAAGCTCACGTATTGGCTATCACTATCTAGAGCGTGTTCTATGATTTATCACGGGTTCGGAATTGCTATACTGTACTACATTGTACTATAGTACATACGTCATATGACATAAGGTCTTTAAAATGACACTACAAAATGGAAAGTTAGCTGGAATCTCATTAGATTTTATCTATAATCTAACTGAAATAATTTTAACCATCTTAAGTAATTTTTAATTGTAAAGTTATTTTTAATGTCTATCTATAACATCTACACTCATAGAAATTTTTCGGTAAAATCGCCCTAAAAACAAGGAAAATCGCCCTAAAACGGGGGTCAATGGCGACTAGGCAACAAAATTAGGGCAAATTGCCCTAAAAATACGGGTTAATTTGTCACACATTTAGGGCGATTTTTCGTAGATCTAGGGCGATTTTTCTATTTTCAAAGCTAATTGCCCTAAAAATAGGAAATGAGACCCTTAAACTAAAGGCAGTTTCCTTTAAATCCAGGGCGATTTTTCTGGACTTATAGGCGAATTGACTTGGAAATCGGAAAAAATACCTTTAAACTAAAGGCAGATTTTCATAAATCTAGGGTGTTTTTCTGGATTTTAGGGCAAATTGCCCTAGAAATATGAAAAAATATCCTGAAACTAACGGCAGATTTTCATAAATTTAGGGCGTTTTTCTGGATTTATAGGCGAATTGCCCTAAAAAAAGCAAAGTGCTCCCCAAAATTTCCCGGTTTTTTTTATAAATAAAAAACCCGATTTCATTATATTTTTTTTGTTTTTTTTTTTATATTTTTGTTTGTTGTTATTTACACAATTTCTAATTATATACATTTACATACTTTTCTACTTATTCTTATTGCTAAAAGAATTACATCGATCTTAAAAATAATGTTTTGGCTTAATGTATTTTTTGGTCTTTAGGTTGTGTGCTTCCGCCGGAGGGAATTTTAGGTCTTTTAAGGTTTATTACAATAAGTACTGATTATCAAATTTTACTTCTAATTGAAGGCATAGAAATAATATTTTTTTTGGAATGAACAGATTGTTTCTTTAAAATAGTTACAGTTTTATGGTTTTATAATCCTCCAAGAGTTCGGATAAAGCTCTACCTTTCTTATCAGACTCTAAATGAATTTCATAAAACATTTTTTGGATAAATGTCGTGGTTTAAAACAAAAAATATTTTGAAGCACACATCAATACTTTTCAATAAGGTTCGCATTCTATAAAAAAACCTCTGATAGGTAAACTGGAAATTCACCAAGGTCAAAAAGGGCTTGTTCCCACGTTGCAGCTGAATGGTTGCAGTTTCGGCTTTCCGGATTTGCAATTTTCCGTCAATGCCTTTAGATGTGTTTGCAGTTCCCCAACAGTAGCCTTCCAAACCAAGAAACGGCTTCGCGGGTCCGCAACGGTGTGCTTCGCGTTCTTGCTCCCGCCGTCCTTCTTTGTCATTGCTGTCGCACCAACACTGAATGGATCGCAAGCCAAATTAAAGTTGATTGTATCTCTATTAAATAAAAACAGTCTATTTATTGAATGAGAAAAGAAAAATAGAAAAAGCACATACCTTCAGCGTGGCTTTCCAAAGATTTGAGCAGTTTTATTCCCTTACTTTCGCTTTTAAAAAGTGCGAAAAGTGGTTTGCGTTCTCAATCTAAAACAAGAAAAAAAATTGTTAGAAATTAATATAAAAATGCACTACTAACAGTCAGAATTTTCATTTAGCCTGCGATTGCGTTTGCTGCTACTTCTGGAAAAAAAGAAGCAACAAAAGCAAATTTCGGTTACTGACGAAATGACGCAATAGAAATTTTGGGGTTATTTAGGCATATGCACTTGTGAATGCGGTTTGTCCGGTGCATAAACACAGATTTCTGGTAAATATATACATCTGTACACATGTGTGTATTCTGTTGCATCATCTTTTTGCCTCAAGCATTATTTACATATACACATACATATATGTATACTCTTATTAATGTTCTTACTTTGTTCTGCCACACTTCCAAAACTCTGCTTCCAGTCAAATCTTTTAAGTTTCAGCTGCATTTTCCTCTGTTACAGATATGTAAATTCAATTAGCTATTAATATCCAAATTGCACAATTATATATGTATGTACTCAACAGAAAACAGAGAAAGAATCGCCTCCCAAGTCTTTTAATACCGTTTCCATTTTTTTACTTTCTCACAAACAAATAGTTACTCAAAAACACGTCATTCACTTCCAAGCGCCCGAAAAATTATGACAAAGTCTAGACAATGCAACTCTTTCTACCCCCACCCTTGCCACTGCAACGGACGAAAAGTAGCAAAGAAGAAGAAAAAGGGTGGACTTCTCTAAAGTCAAATGCGCTCAGCATCAAAATTCATAGAAAAAGGTCCGCCCTAATACACACACACATTCACTTGTTTTGACCTGTCAACCACACACACATACACACATGTATTACATATGTATCCATTAATTGCGTCTTAAAATTTCGTTTGACTCTTCCTTGGTTTTAGGGCAATTTCAGAACATTTTTTTTGCTATTTTGTTCAACGTTTTAGGGCGATTTCGCCCTAAAAAAAAGGAATTACTTTTGGAGGGGACTCATAAAAATTCGCCCTAAAAAACAGGGAAAATTTGCCTTTTTGAAAAAACTAACCCTAAAAAATATTTTCCATGGCGATTTTTCGTATATTTAGGGCTAGCCACCCGTATAATAAGAAAATTTTCCTTAGTTTTAGGGCGACCTCGGTTTTAGGGCGACTTTTCTAGTATTTAGGTAAAAATTTCTATGAGTGTAATACTATTGGAAGTTTAGCATTTCATTTTAAATTTTAATTATTTTTTTTTACAGATTTTACACTTTTTCTCACAGTGTAAAAATTCTTAAAATGTAATATTTAGTTCAGCCCTTTATGAACCTTTTCTCATAGTGCTCATCCCATAATTCGATTTCACTTGTTATTTGCATTCTATTTCAGCGAATTGTTTTCATAATAATTCGCCATTCGCATCTCGTCACGTTCCAGCTAAATAATTACAATTGTAAGCTTTCGAAGAGGGGGCGTTGAATGACATGCAAATACATAATTAAAATTCTGCGTTTTTTATTTTGTAACACCAACAATTAACCCATTTTCATTGCATTCGTTGCTTGTTATCAGAGCTAATCGGATGCCGTAATGTCTGCTTATATCGCGTTCGATTTTTCATGTTTTTTATTGAATCACTTTTTATTTCTCATAATTAACTGAAATAAGTTAAACTATTTGGGTTGTAAATAAAGGTATTACATCGATAGTAAAACGGGTTATATCCAATGAGTTTGGTGCATTAAAAAATGTAAAGATTTTTATTTTCGCTTTATAAAACGAAATAATATTTGCAAAGGTTTTTTATTTTCATACAAAATTTTAATAAGTTTTTAAATATTTGTTATAAATAAAAAGTAATAAAAAGTTTAAAAATTCTGTTTAATGTAGTTTTAAAAATTGCATTAACTTAATTAAAGAACATTAATTCGCATTGCCTCCAGAAGCTGGTATCTCTTTGTTGTGTTTTGACCAACTGCTCTGGAAGTTGTCCAAGATTACGTGCCCGGTTGTTAATCGAATGCAAGTGCAATGCATCCGGTTGGTATGCTTCTGCTCGTAGTACATATTTTAAAGAGTTCAACAAGTGTAAGTCACTTCCGGCATCGGAATTCAGATTCAGAATCGAAAGACGTCTTCAATGGAAGGAAAGGAGAAGAAAAGAGTGGTGATTGAAGCCGGGCAATGAGAACGAGAGTGAGAGTGAGTGGCAACAGCTGGCGCATCGAGATTGGAATCGGCTGAAGACGCGATAAGTTAATCGGCAATCGCACGTACAGAGCACACGTTTCCGGACGTGGTGCTAGTGGCCATCGATATAAAACTGGACCATCTGAGCACTCAGAAAATCAGTTCAATTAGCCAAATTTATAGAGCAGTACGCCCAGTCAGAGAAGCTAAACAGCAAAGCGGCAACACCACCGACTAAAGGCTTCCATTCAGGGCTAATTAAGGAAACGGAAAGGAAAGGAGCGCAGCACGTCGACGATGCTGCCGTCACGTAAACATTTAATTGCCTTCGTTGTGGTGACAACATTAGGTAATTAGTGGTGGCTCACATGACTTCCACTTCGATGCTAATTTCTCGCTCATTTTAGTCTGCCTAACAGTGGGCCAGGAGTCCTCATTTCAGGCCACGATCACCAGTTCCAACAACCAGCTTCAGTCGGCGAATGGAACCAGCCTGAACGAGACCATTACGATTAATATCAGCGAAATAATTGCAGCTGCTGAAGCGGCATCAAATGCCACGGATTCCTCCACTAGTACAGCATCTACTTCGACGACTACAGAAGCCACATCGCCTTCAACAACGACCTCTGCAATATCAACGACAGAAACAACAACTGTGCCTACAAGCACCACATTAGCAAGTTCTACAACAACGCAAGCGGCCATTACAACATCCACAGAATCATCAACAACCACACAGCCGACCACAACCGTTTTGGCAGACACAAGCACAAGCACCCAAACTACAACAACAAACACTCCTACAACAACCACACAAGCTCCCACAACAACGACCCTAGCTTCAACAACAACGACACTAGCTTCAACAACAACACAACAGCCTACAACAACAGCTCCTGTTGCTAGCACTAGTACTTCGGCATCCATATCAACAACGCCCCAAATCTCTACAACAACTACTCAGGCCTCAACCACAACTCCACAATCCACCACAACCATAGCAACACCATTATCCACAACAACAAGCACACAAACACCAACGACAGCGCAATCCTCAACAACAACCGCTCAAATTTCAACAACAACAACACCGCAATCCACAGCCCAAACTACAACAGCAGCCACATTTACCACAACACCAGTTCAAGCTTCAACCACAACAACACAATCTACATCTACAACTTCACAAACTACAACGACAACACCACAATCTACATCAACAAGCATCCAAAGCTCAACAACAACACCACAATCCACAACAACAACATCACAAACTTCCACAACTCCACAATCCACATCATCAACAACTCTAGCATCAACAACCAGCACCGAAGCTTCAACCACAATCGCTGATAGCACCACCACTTCAACCACAATAGCTGAGAGCACCACCACCACTTCAACAACAACGAGTAGCACAACACCACCTGCTTACACCGTTTACACCGTTGAGCCCTACCCGAATATTTATGGCCGATCGAACGAGATTGGCAAGGCCCAGCGAAAACAGCGAAAGGGTCGCAAGGGGCGCAGAGGCAGGAGACCCCGTCGCCGCACCACCACCCTGGCACCACTGACATCTAGGAGCACCACCACCACAACTACAACAACCGCCAGGACGACGCTGGGTGGCTTTGATGATTTCAGCGAGGACTACGACGATCTGGTCCTGAACTCGAACACTGTGCTAGAACCATTTCCGCAATTGGCCCTTGATCTCGGCAATATCGCCAATAACAGAATCCCCAAGTAACCGATCGCTTGCATTATTCCCCAGGAGACTGAGACCAATAACTGGATTCCCACTTTAGTTAGTTTAGTTAATCAATTCATTTTTAATAAAAATATTCTTCACAAAATGCGATCTTTCACATTACAGAAAATAATTGTGTAAGGGAATCTTATTAATGTTGGTGCTAAGAACAAAGAGCAAGAAACGTATTTGAATTATTTAATAATATAATGATTTACATCATTACTAAATTTGTTCTACATCCATCAATTTCTGAGATAATTGATTTAATGAGAATCGTCTCGATATCTCATAGTTACTACTTTAAAATAAAGACATACATCTCAGATTGCATCATAATTACGGTTAACGGTTTATTTTAGTAAATTTTGTTTAGAGAACTGATTGGAAATTTCCCTAAGCAATGCTGGGCAATTATTTTTGTAACTCAAAACCTTTGTGCACACTCAATTGTCTTTCCCCTTTTGGTGCAGCATATATATTCCCAAGGAGAAAGTCTCCATTCAACCGATGGAGATAATTATTTTGTGTGGCAAAAAGCTCTGACAACTCCAACAGCAATACATTCCAATCTGGTGAGCCTCATTAACGTGGCGAGCTCGAGGAGGCAAATGGGGCAGGCGAAATGGTAACAGGAACTCCGATTCCGATTCCGAGACTCAACTCGCAACGTGAAAGGAAAACAGGGGGGAAACTCATAAAACACAAACGGACAAACAGGCAAATAAACAGTTGGTGTGCAATTAATTTGGCAAACTGTTTGCCCAACACAAATATACACATTGCAGAGTCAAAGGCTCCGCCGCTGGCTCCCCCTCTCTGGTTGCTCTGGTTTTACTGGTTTCCGTGTGCATGAGGCGCACTAAACAAATACAATTTAACTTCCACTTTCAACACATCAGCAGAAACGAGCCGGGCAACACCAACCTACCAACCACCCAGATAATGGTCGAGTCAATTAGCAGCGCCTGCTTTTCGCAAGTCGCTAGCCAGCGCATTAAAATCTTGGCCAACATTGCCAAAGTCCCCCGAAAGTCTTTGCCAAATAACTGCCGCACTAATCAGAGTGACAGATGACCAGGGGAGATACACCGGACAAAAAGTTGCACCATCTTGGGGTTTTTTCTTTTAATATAAGCCATGCGACTAAAAAATGGTACCTATATGCCTTATAATTCCCAACTAGTATAGGCTGTAAACCAAGAAACCAAACCACTGATATTTTTAGACCTAAACGCTTTGGTCTAGAAACTATAATCGTTGTGAAAATTTTTTTCTTAATTTAAATCTTAATTTTAGTTCTGGCAGAGCTTAAGCACATCCTTTATAATTCCCAACTAGTTTGGGAAGTTATTTTAATTTAAATTCCATCCTAAAGAAAATTGTGAAAATTGTATTCTTAAGTTTATTATTTTTCTAAAGCATTATTTCTCTCAGTGCAGGCAGAGCATTGAACCCAGTATCACAGAAGGCCCAAATATGCCGCGAGCTTGATAGATTGCTCGCCCGAAATGCACGTGCTTATCGCATAGGAGAGAGGCGGGCAGCACGTGCTCCCAGATGCAGTGGCTCGGATTTTCGGGTTATAAGTAGCCAGACCATCTGCTTATGAGCAAACAGAAACCGAACAAGACTTTGGACTCCAAGACCCAAAGAACCGAAAGCCAAGAGACAATGCTGGGATTCGGACAACAACTAATGCTGCTGGCGATGGCCTGTTTGGGTGAGTTCTAACAAGGAACCGTAAATGGAACAATAGCTCATAACTCTATCATATTTTGGGGTAAAAAAAAAACAAAAAACCCACAGCTCTACAGACGGCCCACGGATGGTTTTTGCCCAAGCTGGATGCGAAACTGGAGGCCAAGAAGCAGAAGGAGCTGCTCAAGAAGCTGGATTTCCTCAATTTGTTCACCGAAAAGGAGGAGGCCAAGCTGGAGAAGAAGGAGGACGAGTGGGAGAAGTTCAAGCAGTGGTGGGAGGAGAAGAAGGAGAAGGAGTTGTCCTTCTTCGAGGCCAAAAAGGAGAAGGAGCTGGCCTTCTTCGAGGGCAAGCTCTCGAAAAAGTCGGGCAAAAAGAGCAAGTCCAGGAAGACCACAGTGAAGCCTTGCTATGGCTACGGCTATCAGGAGCCAGCGGCGACCGCCAACTATTATTCCGAGGAGGTGACCGCCGAGGAGTACGAGGAATCGGAATCGTCCGAGGAAGTCACTGAGAAGCCCCGCCGAAAGTACTACGAACGCAGACCCACCTATTCGCAGCCCACAATTTACGATGTGAGGGACGATTCGGCGGAGGGCACTCGCTACTTTACCTGAAAGGACCCAGCTAATTGGCTCGGATGGTTGGATGCTTGGATGCTCGGATGGATGGATGGATGGATGGACGGATATTTATTTATTGCATTTTCCCCGCCCGTCATCGTTGTCGTGTCGTGTCGCTCTCTTTCTTTCTTTTTTACATAATTACATTTTTAATAAATATAATTAAAATTCACATAGCTGAACGAACGGCCTCGCATCGGCTTTTTGAGTTTGGTTTCAGGTTCAGGTTCGGTTTTTGGTATTGGGTTTGTTGCCAGTCCTCAGTCCGCCTCGCATATCATTTGCATATAAATTGAATTCCCCGCTTCAGTTCAGTTCGGTTTCGGTTTGGTTTCTTGTCTAGGATTCGTGTAGACAGCCAATATTTTATACATTTTATGTTCGCACTTGGGTGTGAGGTGTAGTATAAGGTGTAAGGTGTGTGTGTGTGTGTGGCTTTGATCCATCATGCCGCATACCAAAACAGGCTCGAGCTTCCATATCCATATCGCATCCGCATCCACATCCGCATCCGGATCCGCGTCCTGTCAGCGACACTTCATCCAAACTGTCAGCTGGTGGCTCAGTGACACATTGCGCCCATTATTTGCATAAGGGGAGATTCGCCATTTGGGATGGGAGAAGGAGGGGGATCGAGTGTCTTTAGTGGTTTATCCCGTCATCGCAGGTGAGAGTAGATCGCAAAATTCCTGCTCGGGCGCCAGTTGATAAAAAAATCCTGCTCGGGCGCCACTTGATAAGGAATACTTGCCACCAATTTAAGCTCCTCTATCGATCTAATTGAGGCTGCCATGTTTTATTAATAGCCATCCTCTCCAGCTATTCACATGGAGCGTTTCCATTAATTCTACTCAATTCCATTTGAAAGCATTTTGTATTTGAAACGTTTTAATTTCAACTCTTATATGTACGATGTACATACAAACGAGCACAGATTGAAATTGTAAACATGCCATTGAGTAAACATTTGTGCAAGTTAACACGTAAGTTTTTGCTTTTCACTGCACTAAAGAGGGGAAAAAGTCGAAAATTTGCTGCAGTGAGCACTTTCGCTTTCGTTTTGTGTGCATGTTGAATTTTAGCAAGCTCGGGCATCATTTTTGTTTACATTTTTTTCCGTAGTTAATTGTTTTTGCATTTATTGAATATACACATTTATCCACCATTTTCATTCAAAGTTTTTGATTTGTTATTTATCATTTATTTGTTTTCAATTCAACCCATTGTTTCCCGCACTTTTAAGCGATAGTTCTAAAATGGCGCATTACTAACCACGAATATTCTCCCAATATATGTACTTATATTCCACCAATTTTACCCAATCGAAAAGCCGCATATCTGTCATACCATCCATTCGTACATATATTTGGCATATTCGCTGCACAGAGACACGAAAATGCTTTTCCAGCTGTCAATGGAATGGAAAATTTGGGTTATGGGGAACTGAAAAATTGCCGAGTATCCATACGCATACATCCTCCTTACCAGCAGCTAATGGTAATCATAATAATAATTCCGGGTTTTGTTTGTTTTTCGCTTCCAGATGCTGAGGCAGCAAACATTTTCATTTTCGGGCCAAAAGCATTTCATGGTTTGTAAGCACTCACCTTTTGTGGTATGAGTGTGCTTGCATCTGTGTGCAACGGCAGTGTGTGTGTGCGTGTTTGCACGGGCCGATTCACCTCGGAAATTTTGTGAATGTTGATTTGCCCATTGAGTCGTGGCATCGAGTGCAATTAAAAATCCATTGCGTACTTTCCGGCGCCACTCGGTCAATCGATTCCACACACACTTTCTGCATATTTTCGGGGATTTAACGGAAGATCATTTTTGTTAAATTTAATTCTAAATTCTAAAATATAGCCAAGCATTTTTTCCCGATTATTTTCTGATTGTTCCCTTGGCATCTATTTATATGATAAAATGCGCGGATCCACGGGGTGTATATTACCCTCCACTCAGATTAAGATCACCAGAAAAGTGTCATGGATTTATTTATTATATTGTTATCTGTTCAAACAGTACGTATTTTTGGTGTTGGACCATTTTTGGCCAAGTTATAGCAAAAAAACCAAAAGAAAAAAATTCAAATTGTTGCCAAAAAATCAGATTGCAATTTTTCACAAAAAAATAATTAGGGTTTTGACCGTTATAATGGAAATAATGATTTAAATATAGGTTGTCATACCTTTTTGAACTCGTTATTATCTCTTACTAAAAATCTGAATAAAGATTTTTGTCTAAAAATAGCTTGCGTATCTTGAATTGTGATTATTGAATCGACTTTCACTTGGGTAGCCAAGCATTGGATCTATCGATTTACTGGATTTATCGTTGGGTTTTCTTCGGAGAGTTCTCCCTGTCCCATAGATAATCATTGAATGGAGAGTTGGGAGTTCGGAGTTCGGAGGGGAGAAACTATTATTATTATTTTCGAATTGCGATTATCGGGTGGCACTGGCACTCCTCTGGGAACTGACTTGGCTCCGGACTTCAGCGGTCAGTTCTTGTAATTGCAGTGGACAAAAAGAAGAGCAAACTTTGTTTATCCTTTGGCCGAAAAGTTTTCTTTTTGGCCGGGGGTTCCCCACTCCCTTTGATGGCCCAATTTCTTTCATTGCCTGCCACAGTTACAGTTCAGCGACGAGGGGGTCAATCTTGTTAATTTCAGCTCTGCGGATGAAGCAGACACTTGGCCCCGCCCCCAAGAGCGACCCCGAAAACTCCCAACTCCCCGCCCGATTGTATATATATTGTATTTGCCCAACCATTTGTCTGTCTGTCTGACTGTCTACGTTTTGGGGTTATGCACGCATCGGGTGGCTTTTTTTGGGGGTCTTTTTCCTCCTACTTTACGTCCCGTCCCGTAATCGCAATTAAGATAATCAAAAAAGTTTTGACATTGGACTGTCAGAGCTCTGCGGAGGCTTCGTTTTTACTTTCGTCCCAGTCCGCAAAGTTTTTCCCTTCACCTCACAGTTGAACTTCTCTAACTTGAACTTGTCTTGGCCACATGTACAAAAAGAAATTCAGGTTGCAGTCATAGCAGTGCAATTTTAGATCACTTAATCAAATTAAATAATATTGTAAAGAATTTGGAAAATAATACAAATAAATAAGTAATAACTTTTGGCTTCTTAAATCATATCATGATATTTTATATCCTGCTTAGCAAATACCAACTGTATTTTTGTTTTCGTTTTTCCATATTGCCGCAGTTGCTGATGTCTTTCTTGGCTTTCCACAATATATGCTGCAAGTTTTTGCTTCCATTTTTGGGCTACGACTCCAAGTGCAATGATATCAACTTTTTGCCTTGGTCAAGACGGAATGGGAATCGGAATGGGGATGGTGTGGAGAAGTTTTCAGGGTTGCCGGACCAGGGTTTTTGCCAATGCATACTTGGCGGCTATTATCTCAGGCCTTTTTCTGCACTTTTTTCCCATCTTTCCATCTGCGGAGTCGAATGAAAGTTGAAAGTTGAGAGGCCTGCAGCTGAAGGCAAAGTTTTATTGCCTTGGATGAACGGAAATTGGTTTCCAGTTTATGAAGACGATAGTTATGACGATGATGATGGTTCGAAGCGCACTTTCCAGCATTTCCTGCAACCGATTCTAATCCAATCACAAGAGGCGCGGATTAAAGCAGGTGGAAATCGCCACGGAAACGCCATTTAGTTGGCCAAACAAAGCAACATCCGATGTTCGGATGTGAGGGTGCGGATGTGTGAGAGGATGTAAGCGGATGTGCCAAGTGGGGGCGCAAAAAGGGAAAGTTGTAGGAGTGAAGTGGAGGATGGATAGATGGAGGATGCTTTCGACCCAACTCAAGGGGCAAATGGGAACAGACAGGCGGCGGCGAGACAGTCCTCAGACAGACAGACAGACAGAAAAAAGAAGGGGAAGTTGCGGATGTTTTGGCCAAAAACAGACAATCGATAAAAAGCTACATGCTATTCAGCAAGATATTTTCCACCTGTAAACTTGGTAACACTTTTAACTTTCAAAAGAGAGTAAACCAAACTTAAGTCCACAACTTGGCTATTAAATTAGTTAAAAATTGTAGTAAATAGAAAAATGACTGCAAGTCAAGAATATCCTTGTAAAATATCCTTGCAAAGTCCACCAGCCACAAAACATCTTCATTTGGGGTCAGTCTGCACGTTTGCCGCATAATTTATGCAAACTAAAATTTCCACTTAAGCATTTCATTCCATCTCGGCGCAATCTTATCGTCCCCTCATCCCTTTGCCCCTTTGCCCTTTGGAACCCCATTCCCATTCCGCCAGCAATTAAATGGAACACAAATTTCCCGTCCAAAGTCCGGACTTTGGATTCCAGACGGACAATTCGGAGAGAGCAGACAGTACTTGGCATTATTTATGGCTTCCTTTTTGGCTCTTTGTTGCCCCGTTGTTTCTCGAGGAGTTTTCAGAATTGCGATTTGGTTGGGGACTCGGTTTCGGTTTGGGTTTGGGTTTGCAAAGGGTCGGGGTTGTGGTTGGAAATGTTTGGAGATGGAGGGTTAAGGGATGCACAATCCAAATTGCAATTAATAAGGACCCTTAAATACACTGAGAAAAAGTTTAATAATAGAGCTAAATAAAAAATATCTATTTACATTATTAATAATTTTATCCTAACATTTTTTTCGCATTAAAAAAGATAAAATATATGATTTTTTTTAAAACAGTTTAAAGAATGAATAAAATGAAAATATCATTTTTTATTTTTGTTTGTACTTAGTAATCTAAAATCCTAAATTACCCAAAATATTATCGGTGTAAATAAGGGAGCGGGGCAAACCAATTCGGAATCCATTGAGCCAAAGAAACCGCTTCGGTCAACAGGATTTTTTCGGCTTCTCGGGGCTCTCGCCTCGATGGCTCAATTCGCTTTCGCTTTCCGCACTTTCCCCCGCTTTTCCCCCCGCTTTCTACCATTCGCTTTCCATTTACATTTTCGTTGGCAAACAAATTAAGCAAAGTTAATAACGAAATCTTGTTTTCAACATAAACAACAAATATGCAAATGACTTCATAACATTCAATGAGTGCACGAGACCGACTGCGAAACATGCTGATGGAGCAGTAGACTTGAGTGGGTGGTGAATGGTGGGTGGGTGATTTTCCCTGGATTTCACTGGATTTTCACTGGGCACACTGTTCAAATA